ATAATTTGAACAACAACTCCATAATAAAACAAACAATTTTAATACATCAAACACCAATCATTAATTAATAAGTATCGTATAGGCTTCTATCCACACTGATGAGTACTAATTAGCACCTTTATACACCGACCAATCAAAATAACAAAGCCGGGATGTACAATCTCAAGCTTAAGATTAAATAATTTAAACAACAACTCAATAATAAAAAAAAAACAATTTTAATACATCAAACACCAATCATCAAAATCATCTATAATAATTATCGAATCGGCTTCTATCCACACTGATTAGTACTACTTAGCACCTTTATATACCGATCAACCAACCCTATAATATACTGGTCTTGAATACGCCGATTTTACCGGTAATGAATTAGCCTGGTATTGAATACGCTAGGATTCGAACAAAGACTAGGTAAAATTGATGATATGTGCACAATTCTTTCAAATATATCTGGAAAATTAAATTCCCTGGAAAGTGATTTGAAAAGGATTAAAAACAATCAGACTGAGATGGAATCAGAACTGGAGAAATTATCAGTGGCAAATAGTGATCTTCTGAAAATAACATCGGAGGATAAAATTCAAATAGAAAATTTGTCAAAATATGTGAACAATGTAATGGAAAAAGATCAGAAAGTATCAGATGTCCTATCAGAGATTAGAGAACAGCAAGCCCAGCTACAAAATACTGTGATAGATCTGCAGTGCAGATCTATGAAATATAATTTAATATTTAATGGTTTGAAGGAGTATAGTGATGAGAACACGGAAGAGATGCTGAGAGATTTTCTGTATCGAGAATTGCAAATTGAGCACAAAATTGAGTTCGGAAATATTCACAGATTCGGAAAGTTTAAAGAGAACAGGAGCAGACCGATCGTGGCGAAGTTTTTGTATTATGGTGATGTGGACTTAGTAAAGAGTCGTGCCAATATGTTGAGGGGAAAACCTTATGGAATAAACGAACAATTCCCCCCTATTGTTGAACAAGAAAGGAAGAAATTGTACCCTGTAATGAAGAATTTGCGAATAAGTGGTCAGAAAGTAAAATTGGTAAGAGATAAACTATTTGTTAATCATCAACTCTATGATATTACTAAACACAATGCTACACAGTTTGACCAAAGACCTTCAATCAGATATGATAACGAACCGGTACGAAATCCTCCACAAGCCACATTTACTCATAATCCGATTAGACCATGGGAAACCAACAACAGAAACACAAGTACTGCTACTAGTAGTTCCGGTAGACCTTCAGCGAAACGCCACGCACACTTCAGTTCAAGTTCGGAAACATCTCCAATGCGGGCATAGGTAATCTCGGGGAGTGGACTCTCTATATTAGCTTGGAATGTAGGCAAAGGACTGAGAAAAAAGCTCATGGAACCAGCTTTCATCCACATTGTTTGTGAACATGACATTTTGTGTTTGTTTGAAGCCTGGATTAGTGAAGATGATGTGATAGAATTAACAGACTATACAGTGTACAAATATGTTAGAGACAAAGGGAGGGGTGGGGGAACTGTTATATTTATTAGAAATAAAATTATATCTGCATGTGAAATCCATATGAATATATTAGACTGCATTGTACTTATAGATGTATCATCCCCAAGTCCAGTAAACAACCCGCTTGCTATATTTGCATGTTATTTCCCCCATTCCAACAGTGTTTTCTATGAGAGAAATGACATTAATTTGTTTTCTTGCCTAGAAGACGAGATCAGTAAAGTTTCTAATTCACATACTATTATTACTGTTGGTGATCTTAATAGTCGTACATCTATTGAATATGATTTTGTGGCCTATGATAAACTAAATGAATCAGCGGATGAGCTATTATCTAATATAATTGTTTATAACCCTGATAATTATCATGTTTTGAAATTGAGAAACAACATGGATAAAACTATAAATAGTTTTGGTAGAGAATTATTAAATATGTGTAAGGCAACTGGTTTAAGAATAATAAACGGAAGATATTTGTCTGACAAGAACGGTTCTTATACATTTAATAGTGTTAAAGGATCAAGTTTAATCGATTATTCATTGATGCACTATGACCAATTTAATTTGATACAAAGTTTTGAATCTGGTCAGTTTAATGAGTTTTCAGACCACTCACCACTTTGTATCAAGCTGAACTTCAATCTGAATAGCTCGGACGTTAGTAGTATTAATCGTCATAGTGTTATACTCAAAACTAAAGTTGTTCAGAAATGGGATCATCATAGGTGTAGTGAACTAATAAATCAGTTGAGCATTTATCAGCCTGTTTTAATTGATAGTTGTACGCTAAATGACCGGTCGAAAACTTCAATAGATAATAGTGTTGACGAATTCTCCCGGACCCTTATGGAAATAATATCACCCTTCTGTATAAATAAAATAGAAAGTTCTACATATTATTTAAATAAAACTAGGTGTAATAAACTTAAAGTACGACCCTGGTTCAATGAAATTTGTACTTCCCATTATAAACTTTACAAAAATGCCTTGAGTAATTTTAATAAAAATAAATCTCTTGAAAATAGATTAATTTTATCGTACACAAAATGAAAAATGGTTTTATAATGGTAATGAATTAGAAATTGTTGACACTTTTAATCTATTTAGGATTGATTTTAAACTATAATGGTAAATTTTTGAAAACCCAGAAACATGTAGCTGATCAGGGTAGGAAATCTTTATTCTCTGTGTTAAGAGTATGTAATGATAACTTTTTTAACATTGAAACTAAATTGTCAGTATTTGATACTTATGTCGGAAGCATTTTATCATATGGTGCAGAAATATGGGGATTTCATAAAGCCGCTAATGTGGAGAAAGTTCAATCAAATTTATATAAGCGAATACTAGGAGTTAGACAAACAACTATGCACAGTATGATTTATTTTGAATTAGGTCGATTCCCCTTACATGTAATGAGAAAAATCAGAATTTTTAAATATTGGACAAAACTACTAAATACTGATAATAAGATTTCAAAATGTTGTTTACAGGACCAGGTATCTAATAAAAGTCAATGGATTACAAATATAAGGAATGAATTATTTCAAATAGGTCTAGTCTATATTTGGAAAAATAGAGAATTCTGTAACTCATCATATTTCAAATCCATTAAGCATAGAATTTTAGATATTTTTAAACAATTATGTATAGAACGTATTTGTAATTCATCAAGGGGTTTCTTTTATCAGCATTACATTTCAAATTTTAACTTGCAATATTATTTGTCCAAATCCATTCCATATAAATATGCTAATTGTATTTCAAAAATCCGTTTATCTGCCCATAACGTATTTATAGAAACCGGTAGATACAACAGTGTTGCTAAAAATAAAAGGTTTTGTAAATTTTGCGATAATGATGATATTGAAGATGAGTACCATTTTGTATTAATATGTAAAAAATATAAAGATATTCGTTTCAATTATATTAAACCATATTATAGAATTAATCCAAGTGTATATAAATTTATTCAACTTCTGACTGTACATAATATTAAGGAATTGACAAACCTAGGAAAATATCTATCAATAGCTTTTGAATTGAGAAATAAATCTCTCCAAAATCTAACGATATAAATTGACATCTTAAATACTTGTAAAAAAATGAAATTGTCTACTCTCCCGAAAATAACAACCTTGTAAATAATTTCACATTTGCATGTATATATGTTCTGTATATTGTACTGTATCTGATGGGCAGTTAGCCCAAGGAATAAAGAACTGAACTGAACTGATACGGCATTTGAAATTCACTCTAAAATATTCCAATCACAAATGAAAGACGATAATTTGGTGATTATGATTAGGCCAGTCACGTGGTAATTGGACCGTCAACAGACGCTTGTTAACTTGCCGTGTGTATTGATAGTGCTATATTGTACAGACGGTGAGATATTGTATAGATAATGTATATCCTATGTGTAGTGCCTGTATCGTCACCAGCCAATCAACCGGATTAAGGCCGTAATTGAAAAATTGAAAAGCGTTTTGGCGTGTCGAACACTTAAACGTTAACAGCCGATTTAATTTTAATCAGATTGGTGAGAAGTTGCCGTAAAGTTGATATAGTAACCATGGGCTATACATACATGTAATTTAGATTGTTGATCTTACGTGGTCTTTAAGATATATTAAAATTGAGAAAAAAACGTTTTCATGTATTTGTGAACAACAGAGTTACAGTTATTAGAGAACTTTCAATGGTAAATCAATGGTTTTATGTTTCATCTGAAAATAATCCTGCCGATGAAGCATCAAGAGGACTTCTAGCAACTGATATGATTAATGATACAATGTGGTTAAAGGGGTCGGATTTCTTATGGAAGCCAGTATTATCTGAAATAGATCCGAACGACTCAGAGGAAAAATCGCAAACTACCGTTCTGGTAACGAATTGTCAAGATAAGCTACTCGACCCAACGACACAACTTTTTAAACATTATTCCGATTGGCATCGACTTAAAAGAGCTACCGTTCTCATTGTTCCTTTTCGAAATAATTTAAAGAAATGGTCAAATTTTTGAAAAGATTTAAAATAACGACTTAAAGATTTGCCCAAGGACATTAAGCAAAAGCAAATCAATGACGAAATGAATAAAACTCGTATATCTGATTCGAGAGAACTTATAACTGTTGAAGAGTTAAACTCAGCTGACTGAATATTTTGTACTTTTGTGCAACAAACGTCTTTTCCAAAAGCATTTACTGCTTTATCAAACAATAACACTAAACGTTTAACCAAAGATAACCCAATTTATCGCCTTGATCCAGTGTATAGTAATGGATTAATTAGAGTCGGTGGTAGATTACATCTCGCAAACATCATTGAATAATCCAAGCATCCAATTATTTTGCCTAAAAACGGACACATAGTAACTTTACTCATAAGATATGTGTATAAATTATCGGGACATTCTGGTCGTGGTCATGTCATTGCCAGATTGCGGGAACGCTACACTGTAAGCCTTTTCTGTAATTTTTACAGACTTGTTTCTGTAAAACGCCTACAGCGCAGGTCTGTTATCCTGATAACAGACACGAGTCTGTTAATATTTAAGAAATACAGAATTTCGTCCGTAAATATGACATACGGGTGTTTAAATTAAAGTGACGTCATCGGTCTTCCTGGGCGCCATTACTGCGAAGACCGTTAGTTAGCGGCAAAGAGGAATCCCTCAACATCGAGCACAATAGTTGAACACTACAGTCAATACCAAACATTGCAGTTTTAGGTAAGTATACAGTAGGGACACATCTTTGTTTGACATAGATTGATTCTTAGCATTCGTAAAAATGTACGGTAACTGATTTATGAAATAGTAGGAATAGACTCTTCTACTTCTAGACAAATGGACATACATGATACTCACATACACTGTCACAGTGTTAGTGTTAGCACAGAGTAAAAATACACTCTGGTGTTAGTGCTAGGCCTAATATTTTTTCGCATTGTTTTTGGAGGCTTCAGTTCTAGTTGAGGCTACTCGGATGACATAATAATAACATTGATATAGAAAAAAAATATATGAACTATGAAGGGCTAACATTTCTGGGCTTCATTAAGTTCATAGTCTCAGGTCTGTAGGCTAGGCCTACCACTGAAAACCATTATTAAGAATTTATTGAATTGTCAATGCATTGTCTGGATAGGCCTAATGATCTTTAATTTTTTATTTTACTAATTTTTTTAGGCACAGCTTATTGCATCCTTGAGTGCCATTCCTGTCATCTATAGAGTGGGCTACCCAGCCTTTCTCTGGGTTAGTAAAATTTTTTGAAAGGTAGGCCCTACCGGTAAAGAAAAATTATAAGATTGAACTTACTGAAGATAATAATTTTGGGAGTTGAGCGCATTGTTAATGAAAACCAACACTTCCTGCCCTCTGCTTGGACCTTGAAATTTGAGGGGTGGTTGGACGAATGGTCTAACCATGGAGCTTATATAAGATCCATGGTCTAACATGGGCCTTACTTAGGTCAGAATGAAGCCTATGTCTTTGAGTCAAGTGGCGTTGAAAGGAGTAAGATTGCCTGACTAACCGTGTTCATTTTTTCTGGGTCGTTCGTTTTCCTCCCACTGTTTATAAAAGACCTACGGTTAACGCGATTATTGAAATAAAATTCTATTTTATTAGTCCAAAAATGACCTAGTTCGTGTTGTGTGTGGATGTTAAATCCCATTTCTCTCTCCCAGCTTGAACCTTGGGGTAGGTCTTATTAGCAACAGGTGAATCCTATTTTAGTCTGCTTTTAGATTTACCTGTCATAGGTGCAGAGTCGCCACTGGTTAGTCCAAAAATCTGATCAGAAACCCAAGATGCGGTAACGATAGAAGAAAGCATGGGTTTTAACCCGGAAAGCAATGGGTGTTACGTTAGTTACAGCTACTACCAATATGAATCATGATCAGAAAAGTTCAACCTAACTTAAAGGAGCTAAATCTGTATTCTTTGGCCCCACGAGAAATGAACACAATGGGTCGCAACGATAATAATCTATTATGAATGTCTATAAACTGATTTACATTCAGTCGTTTCTGTTTTTAGTGTAATTTGTAATCAGTTATGCTCGGCGAAATATGTCCAAATTGAATGGCAGTCTGGTTATTCCAGTATACACTGATAGTATTTGTGATATGTTTAGTCTCCTGGGGGGGGGGGGGTGGATGGCTGAATGGTTAGCACGTGCGCGCTGTACCATAAAGTCTGTCATTGAGTCAACTGGCGTGGTTTCGAATCCCCGGTTGTACGTGGCAAGGAGTAGGGTCGCCTGTCCAACCTCGTGGGTTTTTCTCCGGGTCCTCCGGTTTCCTCCCATTGCTAAAGACCCCTACGCGCAAGCGAATTATTGAAATAAAATTTAAACCATATGTTAGTCCTGAAATGACCTAGTTTGTGTCGAGTGGACGTTAAACCCCATTTCTTTCTCTCTCTCTTTAGTCTCCTGTTTGTGGACATGAAACTTCATTTTCTCGCACATTTAGCTCCCTTTTCCTTAAATAAAATGTGTTCTTTTGAAATGGATGTCATAAGAAACAACCTGATTGAGAATATTTGTTTTGCAGGTGCATTTTTGAAATTAACCCAGATAACGCACAGAAATCATGAAAAAGAGGAAGACTCGAGTGTGCCAAAAAGTGATATAACTAATCACTAAACTGTCAAACTTTAAATGGATGAAGTACAGTTACAACAATAGCAACAATATACCGGTACTGTGAGAAGGTATACGACGGTATAGATGCCACATTTTGGTTCAAGGTGCTTTAAATTCTGGACCACGGTTTGGTTAACATGGTACAGATATTTTAACTGTCCATTTTCATCCGATGCAGAATACTCCCCTGTAGTTCATGTGACAAGAAGGAGAAAAGATGGCTTTCTGGCAATGAAACATGTGTCCCGCTGAAAGTACATTCCCCTCCGGCGAACCACAAATCACGGATATAGGAACATTTTGAATCAAAAACGTCAGATGGAAAAGCAGTGGCTAGGGAGCTGGAAACACGTCCAAGAAGAAATACTGTGATATGTATCGTTGCAACCTATGATGCAATAATGTTCATGCATGCAAACTTTAGGGATAGGCCTATTGAGTTTATGGTTAGTTTTTATACACCAGCACATAGTGTGTATAAAATAGGTGATAAGGGACCGAGCCACAACCCTTTTATGAGTGATACTTTGTAAATGAGACTTTAAACGCACTGCAAGAAATCTTTTTAATGAATCTTCTTAATTAAACTTGTTCTTCTTATTGTACTTTTGATAAGATGTCCGTTTACTTTAATGGAAAAATCTTTTGGTCATTTAATTTGTCCATCAACAATTTGGTACATTTGTAAAATTATCCTCAGTTCATTTTGTCTCTAAATATGCGGCCGTGTTGCATAAACATTAAAATTGTGTAACTCTCATCTACACATTTCATTTTGGGACTGGTTCATTAACTTTGTCAGTAGTCGAGTTCCATCTAAATTTTTATCTACGAGACTGAATCAATTTATGCCATTCTCACTAAGGAATGTACATGCTTAGGCAGAGTTATTGTGCAAAATTTAATGATATACATTTTCAAACAGAGATTAAGCTAATCATTGAAACAAGCTGTACATTTAAGGTGGAATAATAGGAATTCTGCATTGATGCTGTTCTTGTTTTAAAGTCATGATACTTTTGGGGTTCAATAATTGTTAGATTTTAAATTGTTCATTTAAACATTTAGACTGCAAATTCATTAATTCCAAAACTTTGAATGATTTCATTATTTCATTAGATCATGTTTTACTGTTATAATTTACTTTCATGTTGTTGATGTTTTAAATAATAGATTTGAGGTAAATATTACAACACCTTGGTTAAGATTTTAGAAAAAGATTTGAGGATAATTCTATTGTAACACACTGATTATATATTTGTAGAATAGATTCAGAATGTTGTTGTTCTACTATAAAAAAAATTCATTTGAATATTATAATGTAAATGTTACATGTACAAGAATTTGAATGGATAATTTCATTATTGTTAAATTTATATTTTGTTGCTACCCATTATTTGATACATCCATGGAAATTTTCACAAACATTTTTTAATTGCTGGGAATTTTAATTGCTTGTCTTGTGAGAACTTGATAAATATTTTGGAGAGTTATTTCCCTTGTTAATAGGGCAACAAATTCTCTTTTTTTTTTAAAGTCGTCACTATTCCATGTACAAATGTTCATTATTATTAATGAAGAATTATGAAAGGAGCTTTGTTTTTGTTGAAATATACCACCAAACTGCTTGACAGCCAAAGAATATGTTAGATCTCTAAACATTCTCCATATTGTAATATCAAATCTGCTCTTGATCAAATGTGTTAAAAATATGAATTTGTGGTTGACAGGTTTTTTTTGTTTTTTTTAAGGCAGTTGTTAGCTTTACTTACTGACAGTAATCTCCAATTTCCAGTATTTTCAGGTCTTTTATTATATCTTAAACTATCATGTAGAAGCATTTTTGAGGAATTAATTGTATCTTATATTGTTTTGAATAATTAAATTCTGTTTTAAATCTTAAGTAAATGTCTTTTTGATGCTTATCATACCATAAGTTTTTTACAGCTGTAAAACATTTTCCGTAAAATTTACGAACAAATGGCTGGCAGCTAGGTTGCCAATCTTTGGACGTAATTTTTACGACATGTTCGTAAAAATATATTTACGGTGTGTCGTAATTTTTACGTACATTGGTTGGCAACCTAGCTGCCAGCCATTTGTCCGTAAATTTTACGGAAAAAGTTTTACAGTGTACTAGATAATTAACTCTATTTCAACTGTTCGTTACATTTTATCAAAATGTGTGTATTGTCGTAAACTATATATGGTTCGGTGTTGGACCAAAAAATGGCCGACTTGCCAGCAGATAGGGTTAATCCTTCTCTCCCATTCTCATCAACGGGTATCGACTTTTTTGGACGCTTTATTGTAAAAGAAGGTCGAAAGGAACTTAAACGATATGGTGTGATTTTTACATGTCTTGTTATTCGAGCAGTTCACATCGAATTAGTTAATTCACTTGATACCAGTTCTTTTATTAATTCGTTAAGAAGATTGATTGCAAGACGCGGTCCTGTTCAAGAGATTCGCAGCGACAATGGTACAAATTTCCATGGTGCAGAATGCGAACTACGTCAAGAAATAATTAAGTGGAACCAAAATCAAATACATAACAAACTGTTACAAAGAAACGTAAAATGGACCTTTAATCCACCTACAGGAAGTCATCACGGTGGCGTTTGGGAAAGACAAATAAGAACAATACGTAGAGTTTTAAATGGTTTATTACAAGGCTCCAATACTGTCTCTTTAACTGGGCAGTCCTTGCGCACTATTATGTGTGAAGTTGAATCAATAGTAAATAGTCGCCCATTAACATTTGCATCTAGTGACCCAAATGATCTTAATCCTCTAACACCTATTTCTTTGTTAAACGTAAAACCAACGACATGGTTATTACCACCTGGCGAATTTAAACGCGAAGACATATATCGAAGGTATTGGAAACAAGTTCAATATCTCGTAGATTCATTCTGGAAACGATGGCAAAGAGAATACTAAGTGGATAGTTTCGAAACGTAATGTTTGTATAAACGATATTGTGCTTCTAGTGGATGATAACGCTCCGCGAAACCAGTGGAAATGGGACGTGTTACCAAAGTATATTATGACTGTAAAAACCTAGTTAGAAGTGTTTGTGTTAAGACACAATTCTCAGAATTTCAAAGACCTATGTATTTGGTTAAACCGTACGTTTGAGGGGCCGGAATGTTAGGGCCAAATTTCGTTTGTATAGATCCGAGTCCATTATTTTGTTGGTGTTATATCAAAGTCAATGTTTTAGATATGCATTTCCTGTCATAACCTAAGGTCAAGGCTGTTAGCCTGATTGTATTTTATGAAGCCATGTGCTTTTATTCATTTTTCAACGTACTAACGTGTTCACTTATTAACGGTTCATAAACATGTTGTAAACCCCTCAGTTATCTTCCAAGTCGTAAGTACATATAATAGCGATATAAAACCAATATATATATATATTTGTACTTGTAGTCCGTTTTAAGAATAATTCTGTAGCCTACATACATGTATGCATAATTTTCACGTATGTATACTGAGCGCCATGGAAAACGCATCACTTAGTTTTTCGTATAACAAAATGAGCCTGTAAACAAATCTTATTTATTTTGCTTCTTATTGTGAACAATATTCAAATGGGAACACATCAATAACAACACATTTGTACACTTATGGATGTTTAATCTGTAATCAAGGGTACAAAGTCAGAGGGGTCAAAACCAAAAGTACGACACAGATGTCAGTAGCGCGTGTGTCCTCCACGGGCTATCATCACGGTAGGCTACAGCATTAACGCGACCCCTGCAAATGTGTAGGGCGGTCCGGTGATCGATTCGTTTCGAAAACGCAGCAGTCTGCAAGACGTTCCCCGAGACGTCTCCACACACGTTGACGGCCATCAGCGTGATAAAGTTGAAAGCGACTCTCATCACTGAAGAGCACACTTTGCCAGTCTACTCTTCTCCATGTCTGGTGTCCTTGCGCCCATATCAAACGCCGCTGACGGTGATGGTCCCTGATGATAGCTCCAACATAAGGTCGTCGTGCACGTCGTGCACGTGACCGTCAACGTCCTGGTCCACAACGCGTTACAACCCAGGCTCAAGACCGCTACATCCGGGTCACTCATCTGCGTGACAGATTCGGCCCAGCGACTCTAACAGGTGTCGTCGTCGGAAAACAAGGACCATAATAATAATAATAATAATAATAATATCTTTATTTTCAAAGGTGAAAAATTAGGCTTAGAATCTTTATAACAAAGAAATGAAAAAGACAGTAACAGAACAAGACACTTAACAAATACTCACACACAAAACATTCAAATATATATTGATAAGCTAAATAGTTTAACTTCAAAACTAAAAGTAATATGATAGATAATATGTGCCAACACCGTAAGACGTTACGTTCCACCAATAGTGGACTGATGACAATTGATGTGTCTGACAATAGCACGTGTGCCAGCCCTGGACATTCCCATGGCTTCATTCCGTTGATTTTCAGTAAGTCTCGGCATCTCTATCTCGATTCCTGCACACGTCCAACAACAAATTACGACAGATTGACGTTTCACAGTTCATGTACTGCACATTAAGTTGAAAACATGCTTTTAAAGGGCTCAAACACAATGCTGCACGTGAATATTGGGTTTTTCATGTACATCTCGTGCTTTCTTTCTTTTTTTACTCACGGGCCGATATTTTTTGCGTTTGGGAGCATTGTGTGAAACAATAGTTCATAGTATTGCATAATATTATACATACAAAACCACCTAGTAATAAAATATTTGGGAAAAAAAAGTGATGCGTTTTCCATGGCGCTCCGTAGAATACCTGCTCTTCACTAACTGCGAATCAAGCTGGCTCTCACTACCAAATTCGCTGGATGACCATGACTTGAGTGTAATCACGTGCTCGGTATGTGCTAATTCGAGCCTTCGATAAATAAAATGAATTGAAAGTAGTCTATTTTTAGTAACCCATTTCTTTGCTCAAAATAAAAATGCTTTTATCTCTTCTAAAGTAATTTAATGAAATGAAATGAAATGGGGTTTAACGTCCTACTGTTCTGCTCCTGTTCTAGGGTTAGGGTTAGGGTTCCAACTGCCAAGGGATCTTTTACGTGCACGCCAATGTGTACACGGAACCTCGGGTTTTTTTTCGTCCCATTTTAATTCATGTATATTCGTTCGAGAGAGAGAGAGAGGGGGGGGGGAGGTTAACGTCAACTCGACACAAACTAGGTCATCTCGGGACTAACGTATGGCTTAATATGCGCGTAGGGGTCTTAAGCAGTGGGAGGATTAACTTTACTGTGACAGTATTGGTTCTTAAATCGGGTTCTTTGATGACAACACTGGTATATACATCTAATAATAGTTTTATTCTGCTTCTTACAATATTAGGTACAAACATCGTGATGTAAACGACCGTAGAACTAACTATATGGAAGGAGTCATGACTTAATTAGCTTGGCTTAGCATGAGTGTGCTAACTCCAGAAGCTGTCGTCTCGTACCGTCTCGTGCCAAGGCGCCCATGATCTAGGCACCCGCCTAGCATGGCCTCCTGGACCCGCCTGAAGATTCGTTTCTGTTCTGAGTTTATAAACGTATTCGAGACAAAGGAGCTCATTAGACACCTGTCTAATGTATCAAGCATCATATGAAGGTTTAACATTCAATATAGTTTATCCGACAAAGAAAGTTAGATAAGACATGCCAACAACAAGTTATAGTTACGCAATGACATAAGGAATACTACCAAGATCTCCAGCCGGGTATTGATAGCGACAGGTTTATGTTACAATCACTAACACGTATTTTAATATGGCAGGACGCCTCTATGACATAAGTCATTATGTTATATACCTCTCTTTGTTTGAATAAAGTTATAAATTATATGAAATAACTTTTAAAGACTATTACAAAATTAGATACCTATGGAGTCGATAATTACTACTCTTATTAAGATATAAACAACAATAATAATAATGAAAAAATATATAAAAACAAACAACACTCGTAAAATGTCGTATACAAAAATGTCTATAAACAAAAAGAAAAGGTAAATGAAACACACACGAATTTAAAAGTTATATATACATGTAAAATGTCATAATATCCAAAAATGTCTTTAAACAAAATGAAAAGGTCAATGAAAAACACACGAACTTAAAAGTTATATACACACAATCGGTCACACACGCGAGTCAATGAAAAAAAAACAAACGAGATCCTGGAATCACAAACACAGACTACTCTTATTATTCACATAAATGGTGGAATCGCGAACACAAACTACTGTAATTATCTTCTTAGACCGATTATTTGGTGGAATCGCGAACACAAACTACTGTAATTATCTTCTTAGACCGATTATTTGGTGGAATCGCGAACACAAACTACTGTAATTATCTTCTTAGACCGCTACTGCACTGTCGTAGCCAACTGTAGGGGTGGGGTACATATGATGCCCTTCCTCGTTCCAGTAATGTTGAGGGGTCAGAATATTCCCTGCTCCGTTTAGTTCAGCTCTTCTTATTGACCGGTAGTCTTTTCATTTTCCATACCGTCTGGCAAAACGGCGTGTTATGACATGTGCATATGAAGAGTATTAACTGCCACCCGTGCCGAAGTTTTATCATCTGCTTATCATATATATCATGGAGTGAACTTAATTAATAGTTAATCAAATTAGCAAGTGGAACAGATTTGACTTTAGATATCGATCTAACGATATTTACAGTATTATTTACATGGATACAATTGAAATTAGGGAGTCATATTGTTTTATCTCAAGAATATGAATGATCTGAACACATTTAACCAATCTTAAATAAGATATTTTTGAAAGAACTTATCAAAATTAATAACGGTTTATCTCTATAATTTTTAAAGACAACACAAAACAAGACAATACGTTCGCTCCTAATTCTGAGCACGACCCTCACCTGGGGTTAAACCAATCCCACCTGACTGGGGTTTCACATAAACCTTTTCCCGTAACATATCGGGACCTCCCAATCTATATTATTGGGGTATCACAAAATAAAAATAATAAAAAATCCTTCCCGTACATATCGGGTCATCCCATTAACATTTGGGGTACTACGTTAAACACGAATAAAATCTTTCCCGTAAATATCGGGCCACCCCATTAACACT